AGGTCACTGGTCTCTTCTTCCGAAGGGGTTTCGAAGGCACTTGGCTTTGGCTTTGTAGACCTTGGGGCACTGGACTCATCCTCGGAAGTGGTCTCGAAAGCACGGGGTTTTGGCTTCGCGGTCCTCAGATCACTGGTCTCTTCTTCTGAAGTGGTTTCGAACGCTCGCGGCTTTCGCTTCGTGGTCCTGAGATCACTGGGCACTTCTTCCGAAGTGGTTTCGAAGGCGGTCGGCTTTGTCTTTGTAGACTTTGGGGCACTGGACTCATCCTCGGAAATTGTTTCGAAGGCACGGGGCTTGGGCTTTGTGGCCCTTGGGTCACTGGTTGCCTCTTCTTCGGAAGTGGTTTCAAAAGCCCTGGGCTTTCGCTTCGTGGTCCTCAGGTCACTGGTCGTTTCTTCGGAAGCTGAAGTGGTTTCAACAGCACGTGCCATAGTTGCAGTCCTGAGATCACTGGGCGCTTCTTCCGAAGTGGTTTCGAAGGCACTGGGTTTTGGCTTTGTGGCCCCGGCGTCACTGGTTGCCTCTTCTTCGGACGCGGTTCCAAAAGCACGTGCCATATTTGCAGTCCTGAGATCACTGGGCACTTCTTCCGAAGTGGTTTCGAAGGCACTCGGCTTTGGCTTCGAAGACCTTGGGGCGCTGGACTCATCCTCCGAAATAGTTTCGAAAGCACGGGGCTTTGGCTTCGTGGAATCGAGATGGGTGAGTTCAGCTGCAAATTGGCGAGCTTCTGCCAGTGACATTGATGCCACTGGGGTTGACACTGGCATGGCTCCTACCTCCCGAACCGTATCGGTGGAATCTGCCTGCAGAGCTGCTCCAACACGTGGCTCTGTAATGGTGATCTTGGCCTCTGTGGGCTCTGGTCTCGTCGCATCTGCAATGGTCAGGAGCGCGGAGTTGCTCCACTTGTCATCTGCCGAGATGAAGCCCGGCCTTTCCATCTCAGCAACTTCACGGAGCTGGCTTTGAGCTCCATCAGTATTGGAAGCCTTTACCGATGGAAGTTCCTGCGAAGGGATCATCTGAAGTAGGTTGGTCACGTCTGCATCGGAAGTCTCTGCTTCAGCCCACGCGCCAGCCAGGAGCGAAAGGAGGATGAGGCGCATGGCGAGTAGATTGTACGGTGCGGTTTTTTATACGCTATCAGCTTCAGCCTCAAAATCCTGCAGAAAGCCAAGGCCTGCGCGTACTTGCTACTTCGGCTCATTTCGGCTCTGTCTTCAGGGCGTGTACGAACAGGTGCAAGCATGCCATGATATGCAACAATGTCCCATATGCAGTCTTCCATCTTGAGCTGAGGCAGCTGAGTCCCCATCGTTTTCTGCTTTTATCCTTGCTTTTCCTGCCATTTTAAACTGAGTCGCGAACCGCCATGTTTTGAATATCTGCTTAACGTCTGCTTTTGGGAATGCCCTTGCAGATTCTGACTGCTTGCAGCGGAGGGAAGCAAGGTCCCGCCAGTCTTGCAGGTCAGCCGGCATGATTACAAACGCATGGTCCATGGGCACAAATGACCAATGTAAGTTTGTTCGAAGCAATGGATTTTCGCGCGATCCAGGCTAACCTGATACTCATGATAGTCGCCACAAACAGCAGGATAGGCCAACACTATTCCCCTCTGGCTTGCGTGCCTGTCTTTTCTTCTACTTTCAGATTCGTCCCGCTCCTGGATTTCTCAAGCACTGTCTATACTGAGAGCTTCGCATAATAGTGCCATGCAGTACATATATCTTTTGATAGAGGGCGCAGCGCGCACTGCCGCCTCATCAGTTGCTCGTCTCTCCTTTTTCCGCTCCTGTCGGATCGCACCAAGCCGCAACCAGAACCCCAAGCGGACAACACGCGCACGGACACGCACGGACATGAAGAATGCACAACTCTCCTTCTCTTTCGGCTTTTCCTTGTCTTTCTCCTTATCTTTTTCTCGCTGCTTCTCCTTTCTGTCCTTCTCCCTTAACGCATCTTTGTCCTTTACTTTCTCACCTTCCCGCACCTTGTCCTTCTCACGCTTCTTTTCATCGTGCCCATCTTTGGCCCCTGGCGTGCCGCCTTTGCCGTTTGTAAGCTCTTTGCTCTTCGGCTTGTCGGCCTTATCTTTTTTGTCCTTCTCTTTCTCCTGCCAAGGTGTTGTAGCTCTGATACATGTGTCCCTAACTTTCTCCTCCTGCAAAAGCCACTCTACGCACCACAACCGGCCCTTGCCAAGTGCTACGCTACAACTCATTTGGGCCTTGCTTTTTGCTATCGGCTTTGATGCCTGGGCCTGCAAGGCTGCAGAACAAGCGATGCGCGCAAGCCTGTTTATGGCCTGCCTGTTACCTTTTCACCGGCAAATCTTGTCACTCGGTCAGCCAGTCATGTGCCAGGCCACGGGTGGCCGACAGCATCATTCTCAAAGCAGAAAGCGTCTATCAAAGATACAGCTATGTACAGCTACAGCTCCTGCGGCTGCCCCTACGGCGTGACAGGCGCCAGCCAACAGTCTTCGCAGAACACAGAGCCATCACTTGCTCGTCCCAGTCAAGAAAGAGAAGACATGGTCCACAAAGGAATGCAGAAAGCCCTGTCAAACAAGCTTGCCACGTACCGCATCTTGCCACGAATCGGAACACGCATGCTGGCCTGAGGAAGCTTGGCCAATGGACATTGGCGAGCCTGCATGCATTCAACTTCAGCGGCTGCTACAGTAACCGCTCACAGGCAGGCTGGGCTGCGAACATCTTCCTTACACACAGCAATACCTGCCACATGAGGATCCGTTTGCGTTAGACTTTGGTGCTTACATGTTCCTGGCATTGCTCCGAGTTGAGACCAGGAACAAAACAGGCGACGCTTTGCCCAATCACTGCGTCGAACACGCAAGGTCGCCCGAATGCCAGGCTTCACCAGCTTTCCACTTCTTCCCCGTGTCTTGAACAACAGCCTGAGCCAACATTCCTTGCTTGCTCATGGCCCCTGAACTTGACAACAAGTGCTGCATGGGCATCTGCGCGCCAGCAGCAACCATGACCCAATAGAGTTGAGCAGGCGTGCTTGTGAAGATGTGTGACTTACATCTCGCAGCGGTGACTGAACTGACCCGTGAACTTTGATCTAGCCGGCAGCTGACTGCAAGATTGGCAGGCTAGCTCGCTGGGAGTTGACGAGAACTTGGGAGCCGCACTGAAGGCAGGCCTACCTGAGCAAGAAGCAAACAAACTGAGGTTGGGGCTTGTCCACGGGTGCTGCGCAGCTGAGTTTCACCTGCAGCTACGGCTGTTTTGACGACAGAGTCAAGAATCGTGTCTTGGGGGCTGTGGCAACCTATGCTCCATCAGAAGAGCCTTTGCGGGCGCACGTGGTCAGGCCATGCTCACATACATGTGCCCTTTTTCGGGTGGCAAGCTTCCACTTGGTGGAGCTCTGCCTGTGATAAAGCTCACATCTGATTTTAAAGTCCAGCACTCATCTGTACAGCCCCTGGCTGGAGCAAGGAGAGGGCTCTTGATTCCCTGGAAAAGGCAAAATGAGGCCCTGCAAAACAACTACATGTCGACACATCGGTAGTCTATGAGACTGCCAGCTTTGACGTCTAAGTGCTCTGAATGAGCTCATTTCTGCAGGTGCGGCTGCCGGGCTGGAGCAGACCCCATCATCCACTTGCGCAGCCTTGCCGCGAAGTCTGCAAATCTGATCACTAGCATGCGAGCATCTAGCATCGCTGGGCCTGGTAGACATACTGCCGAAAGGTGTGCAACTGACGAGGAAACGAAAATCCGCCAAAAGCAATAACGTCAGCTGTGAGCTGTGAGGCTTGCATCTTGCGCCAGCTTGCGCCTTTGCGTGGAGCTCTTCTCCAATTGGGGTCGTCTGCCTTGGTTCGTTTACTCTAGCTGCAATAAATGCAATTGGACAAGGTGTCATCTTGAACAAGGACACGTCACCCATGAAAGCATCATATTCGTGTGGGAGGACATACTCCGCGATAATTGAAACGCCGTCCTTCTCCTGAAGGATCAAACTGCATGTCAGGTACCAAGTCTCACACAAATCGGCCTTGGTCTCCACGACCACTCGCCTTCCTGTGGCAGCGCGCAAGTGAACTTGAAATGTTAGTCTTCCCCGTCTTGCCTGTGGCTGTGGCTGCCTGCTCTTCGGAAACGGCAATTGGTTCCCCGTATTCTGTGCCTTAGTACATTGCAGGCCGCAGCTGCCTTCTCTATCTGGAAGCTTCTGGGCACCAGTCTGCCAAATGCCATGGCAGCACGCCACAGGCCACCAGGTTGGCTTCCTGATCAAGATGCATTTCTGACTGTTGCGAACCCACTGCTGCTGTAAATGGCCTGGCGGTGGCGTCACTTGAGGACGCGGTGCAAACGGTCCACTTGTGGTTATCTTGGCCGGCGACGTGTACAGACCCATTGCTTTCAGCATAGCGTCTGGATCCTCCTGCGCCACAGCAAGCAGACTACTCGCTCTATGGCATCTTATCAGGACTCTGTTTCTCCCTTTCGCTCAATGAAGACAGACTTATTACAAGTTGTGGCTGTGAGCGGAACATCTGTTTCTCTACGGATTCAACACTGCCTTGTTAAGAGTGGCAAAAATCGGAATCTATGCTAACGTTGGGTGAATGGATGCACTAATCTGCAGAACTCCACCCAACCAAAAAACACTTGATGGAGCAGGGGTGACCCCTCCAGCCTCCCCAACTTGATTGCGTATTGATTGAGATTGCTCCCGCATGGAATCTCATGGCTTTCAGATTCCCGAGTTGATCAGTAGGGGGACAGGACTACACAAATCCCACTTTGGGCAATCCTAATCTGAATACTCGCCGGTAGCACGGAGATCCTGTCAGACAATGTTTTCTGTGACACTCGTGTTTGCGCTCGATGAGCGCGTTCCGGCATTATCAAAGGTGGTTGGGTGTCGCCTGCAAGTGCTCCATGCTCTTGAATCCCTTGATGGTGTTGATGTGTTGTCGTGCTGTCATGTGATGCACTAGATGTTACAGGTCAGATGAAGCGCGGGCTAGTCCAATGTATGTCTCGTTCGCTCATTTCCCGTCTCTTCAAGATCTATGCTCAGGTAGGCCCTGTGCCGGGGCCTTGCGCCGAGCTCTCAAGCGTTCGTCGGTTGCGGAAGTATAGGTCAAAAAGCTTAAGTCCGCGTCAAGGCAACTTTCCATTTTGCATGGACTCTTCTTTAGTTCCCCAAGGCAACAAAAGAAACAAAACTGTTTAGAATTCACAGCTACACCCTTCGGCCTCTTCTGGATTGGGCACGCGCAGTTGCCACCACTCATTCGGATCCAGCTTTTCGACATCCACAGCATACAGCTCTTGCACAGAGCTGCTTAGCCATCCATGTGTCAGCGCCTTGCTGTCCACAACTTCTGATGGGTGATGTGGCTTTGGAAAATCCACTGCCATAGCCAGTTCTCGGGCTTTGTTTGCTTCCCGGGGGCCGCCAATACCCAGCATGTAGATCTGCGAAAGCTCAACAACTGCTGGAATATATCCGCGTCGGTGGGCAGCCTCCATGTAGGCACGTGCCTTCTCCGCATCCTTCTGCAGGCCCATTCTCTCCTGGAGATATGCCATGCCAAGCTCATATGCGGCGAGAGCATCGCCACCTCTGTCAGCTTTTCGAAAGAGCTCTACAGCCTTCACGAAGTCTGTGCTGCCTCCCAGACCTGAACGAAGCATCAACGCCAGCTCCAGTGTGGCCATTTGCTTGCCTTGTGCGTCAGCCTCAGAAAAGAGCTGACGTGCCCGCTCCAGGTCTGTGTTGCATCCCGTGCCGCGCTTGTAACAGCGAGCCAGATAAAGCGTGCCTACTGGGTCACTGTTCTGGTGTGCCTTGAGAAAGCACTGGTAGGCTTTTATTTCATCTAAAGGCACACCCATCCCAGATTGATGCAATATCCCCAGCAAAGTCAGGCTGTTGCCGTGATTGCTGTCGAGAGCGAGCGCCCTGTTCAAATGAAGGTGGCACCGCTGCATTACAACAAACCGTGCAGGCGTTCCTGCCGAGGTTGCCCGAAGCGCACGGAGATACTCCACTGACGCAGCGAGACACAGAGCCTGGGCATCGTGGCCACGAGAGCATACGTCTGCGCAGGCGGGACAGCTGTCACATCCAGTGATGTCCTCTCAGGCTTGCAGAAATACGCTGTTCTCCTTGCCATCTCCTACACTGCCATCCCCAAACAACTCGCATCAAATGATAGTCTGCCAGACTCCGCAATCAGAAAGCCTTCCACCAATCCTTCCAATTTGCCATTAACCTGTCTATGTATGGGAGATGATGAATCTAGATGGAGCAACTTCAAACAAGCTCACTGCAACAGTTTGACATACATGGTTCTTCTTTATGGCAGAAAGTAAGCGCTCTCATTGGCTTGAAATCGTTCAATCAACAACATTTTGCAACCAATGCAAGCCGTTTGACGTTAAGCTGTAGTCTCACGCACGCTAAGGTCACAGTAGTTCTTTCAAAGATTTTGAAAGCATAGCGACATGCACAAAGGGAGCGTGGGATTTGCAATCCTCACTGGCAAAGATCAGTGCTCAAGTGGGGTTTGGTGTCTTTATTCAAAACTTTTGGACATGGACAAGGACATGCAATTTCAGACACTCCAAACAACAATGACCCCAACAAGGCCAGCAACATCATATGTTTGAGGCAGCTTAGGCTTAGGCTTTTGAAGGCCAGGAGGCATGGATAGACAAATCTTCGTGCATGCGGCCAGAAATTGTAGTTTCTTGGTTGCTTTGCCCATTCAGCCACGTCAGTGAGCCTTTGTACGACCACCCCGCTGCTGCAACTACGTACAAGTGACTGCTGCCGCTGCTCCTACAACTATTCGGCGAGCGCTGCTACGAGCCACCGGACGCTGTTCACTACTAGCAGTGATCTTTCAATGACTTAGCACCACGGTGACAGCACTACTGCTACTGAGGCCACTGCTGCAGCAAGTTGAGTTCTACCCAAGTTGCTGACACTCCTGACTTCAAGAGGGCATGAAACCGCCTAAACTGAGATACTGTAGCATCCAATGCCAGAACTGTTTTGCACGGCCAGACAACTACTTACATACACACGCAGTATGAAATGTGCCAAGGCTAGGGAGGATGCTGATAAATGGACTTCTTGCAGCAAGACATTCAATGGCTCAGTTTCGAAGTTGCAGCCGTAGAATCTTACCCTGGACTGTTCGAGGTGTTTGACAAGCTAAGGAATAGAATCCTCATTTTGTTTTCCTAGATTCATTCTTGGAAGGGAATCAAAAAATCATCACTTTCAGCTTCTGGAGCACTCTGGAAACTCGTACACATCTGGACGCGACTTTGCTCACTATGGCGTTCTTGCACGGCTTCGGCCAGAAGTGCTTCTGCTGAGAAAGCTCAGGGTTACTTTGTCGCTGTCGCTTCGTGAGCCCCTAAAGCCCGCGATTTCCCTCATCTAATGAGCCGCTTAGCCTGCACTTCTCATCTGAGTCGCACCTTGACTTCTTCGAGGCACACAGCATGAAAGTAATGGCCACACGGAAGTGGTTGAACTCCGCACAGCTGGCTGCCGTGCTCCACCAGCGATCGGAAGCAGACCCAGCACTCCATAGAGCGGCGCATGGATGCGTGTGGGGGACCAGCAAGTCCCCGACTTTGTTAGATGCTTTGCAAGTTCGAACACAGACTCGGAAAGAATTTGCTGTCGCGGTCTTGTGTCAACTTGTGAGGTCATATTTCCCCACCCTCGCAGTGGGGTTGTTGGATTTCAAAGTAGATGTTGTCCTCGCCCGACTGGAAGCTGACTGTAGTGACTAACCGCCAAGTATTTCTGCAGTGCCCATTGCCCACCCTCGCAGTGGGGAATAAAGTAGATGTTGTCCTTGCCCGACTGGAAGCTGACTGTAGTGACTAATTAACCGCCAAGTATCCCTGCAGTGCCCAACCACCAAGTATCCGAGTATCCCTGCAGTGCCCAACCACCAAGTATCCCTGCAGTGCCCAACCAATGAGTTTCCCTGCAACGCTTAACGGATGTGCCCAACCGCAAAGTATCCCTGCAGTGCCCAACCACAAAGTATCCCTCCAGTGCCCAACCGCGAAGTATCCATGCAGTGCCCAACCAATGGGTTTCCCTGCAGTGCCGAACCGCAAAGTATCCCTGCAGTGCCCAACCACCAAGTATCCCTGCAGTGCCCAAGCACCACGTATCCCTGCAGTGCCCAACCGCAGAGTATCCTTACACTGCCCAAAAGCAAAGTATCCCTGCAGTGCTCAAC